CTATGCACCTGCCAAATCTCAAATCTCTGTGACTTACGGTTTTCCCCAACTCACGTTAGGCGGCGCTGTAGAGCCATTTGGCCACGCCCATTTTGGATTCCATTATCATACGTAAATTTCACTAGGGGGACAATTTACTGCCAAGTTTGGTGAGTTTTTGAACATGCTAAAGCCTCCAAAATGCTGTTTCTTTTACGCGGAGAAAAATAATAAATAATAATAATAATAACAAACGATACAGGAACAATAGGCTCTCGCAGCGGTGAGCTGCTCGGGCCTAATAACAAACGATACAGGAACAATAGGCTCTCGCAGCGGTGAGCTGCTCGGGCCTAATAACAAACGATACAGGAACAATAGGCTCTCGCAGCGGTGAGCTGCTCGGGCCTAATAATAATAATAATAATAAGAAACTTTCGAAATACAATAGGCCTTCGCAGCGCTTTGCTGCTCGGGCCTAATAAGAAACTTTCGAAATACAATAGGCCTTCGCAGCGCTTTGCTGCTCGGGCCTAATAATAATAATAATAAGAAACTTTCGAAATACAATAGGCCTTCGCAGCGCTATGCTGCTCGGGCCTAATAATAATAAGATTATTATTTTTCTTTCCTAATTTCTGTAGTGTTGATTTACATCACATTGAATGAGATGTAAATCAACAGAAATTTTACAAAGCAACAAAAAACCAACAAAAAAATAATTCACAATGAACTGAATGCATTTAAGTAATAAATCTATCCGTTTATTTCCTGGTACAGTTTAAAATGTTGTTATAACGTTCATTTAGGAATAAAAGAGTGTGCATCACCTTTGCTGATAAGCTGATAGTGTCCCAGTCTGGAGATGGGAACTCCAGTTTCCCTCTGAGGATCTGGTCAAACAGCTCCTCCTGGACATTATTCTCACTGAGAAAAGTTAAATGAATTCCTTAAAGGACTAACAGTTAAAAAACAAACAGTCTATAAAATTTATAATCCAAGCAATGTTTTTATTAAAGTGTCAAATTTCCATAAATAGTACTGAGTCAACTATGAACTGTAACATTTGTTCAAACTGTTTAACAGACAATAAAAACAGACAATTTAATCAAAGATCCTACATAATTATCTAGACAGTATAAAAAGTCGATATATTTTTTCAAAATTTCCTGACTGAATTACAGCTGACCTTCTGAAAGGAGGGAATCCACAGAGCAGGATGTAGGCGATGACTCCTGCAGCCCAGATGTCCACCTTCAGACCGTAGCTACACACAAAGGAAAACAACATCAACCTAACTGTGTATTAACCCAAAATAACTAATTTAATTACAAATTAAAGGAAATAAAACATTTAACAAAACAGAGAGTTCAAGGTAAACCATTTCATCCAAGTTACATTAAATAAAACATTAAAAAAATGACTGTATTGTCTTGGAGCAGATTATATAAAATAAAATCTTCCCCAAAAGAAATCTACACCAGATGTTATCTGTGGCTGATCATGTTTTAATACATCTGCATAAAAATATTTCCATTTCTGCATTTTTATTAACAAAACAAACAACCAGAGAAACATAGACTAGTTTTCATTTCTTCCAGTGAAGAGAAACATTTAATCTCCAACCTAAAAAATATAATTCAGTTCAAATAAGACCATATCTGATTTTCAGTTGCTTAGCAAAAGCAAAGCTGAATAATTTCACTTAGGTACATATTTTGACCGTGTGTAAGCTTTTAGTTTTAATAGTTTTGCACTAAATTTGCCAGAAGTTTAATATTTTAATTTAGCCTTAGATCTTGTAAAAAATGCTGCTAGTTCAGTTCAGTAGCTTTTATTTGTCCCAGTATGGGCAATTTTGTGAAGTAGTAGTACACCTTTCACACATCACATTTCACATATCACAGATAAAGAATAAAAGAAGAAGAACAAGAGACACATAAATATTTAAAAAGATAAAAGTAAGGTGGATAAAAGAGACAGAAATGTAAAAAAAAAAAAAAAAAAAAAAAAAAGTGCAAATGAGAGCATAGGCCTGAATGCATGCAACTAGTTAAGCCAACTCTTTAAAAAATGAAATATCTTTAAATAAATATATCTAAATATATATAACTAAACTTTTAAGGATTATTAGTGATTCATTTTCATGTGTGTGAGAAAATAACTCAGTGAATTAAGTTTTATTTTCAAGCAGATTCATAAATGACTGTTGCTTTTCTGCTTTGTATAAAAGAAATTCAATAGAAATCTTTGTTTAAATACAACTAATTTGTAATATTTTCATAAAACCTATTATTGTCTAAAAAATAGAGTACTTGCATGAACAGAACTATGGAAACAAATCCTTTTACTGTCTCACCCAGTCTCAGCGATGATCTCTGGTGCGACATACGTCGGCGTGCCACAGACGGTGTACAGCGGACCTTCCACCACCGTCGCCAAACCAAAATCTCCCAGCTTCAGGGACTTGGTGCCGTCAGGATACTCACACACCTGTAGAAAAAAACGATTAGTGTTTTATATATACAGTATATATATATATATATATATATATTTATATATATATATATATATAGATATATATATATCTTTAACAGTGATTCACAGGAAAATGGGTTGATGAAAAAGTTTCTGTACCAACAGGTTCTCTGGTTTGATGTCTCTGTGGACGATGTTCATCCTGTGCAGGTACTTGATGGCTCCGGCCAGGTTGAACACCATGGCGCTGGCGTCACGCTCACTGTACTTTGTGGAGGAGGTAATGGCGTCAAAAAGATCGCCTCCCTGAAGGAAAGAGCATGACAAATTATCGCTATAAAAAACATCAGCGCAGTATTTTCCCTTCAAACACAGCAAAAACACAGCAACAGTTCAGGTTAAATAACAGTGTTTTTGAAGGAGGCTTAAAAACTAGAGTTAAAGTAGCCGGTCTTATCTGCAGGGAGCATTCTAGAGTTGGAACCACAACTAAAAAAACAAAATCGCAATTATGCAAAAAAAACAAACAAAAAGAAGGGATCTAATGCTATTGGTTAACAGGAAGTAAGGCTGCGAAGCATCAGAGAGATATAGGGTCCATTTAGGCAGCTATAGTAGGTCCAGTTTAGCATCTTTCCTTTAGTGGCTCCTTGTGAGTCAGAGGGAGAAAAGAAGAGATAAAACTGGTGAAACATATCTAAATTTAAATTTGAAAGGGAAATCTGCTCAACCCAAACATACTGCAATAATCTAGATGGGTTGTAATGACGTCATGGGCCTGTTTCTTTAATTCAGGTCTGTTTAGCACTGAATTAATATTAGATATTTATCTGCGGGGCAAAAAAAGCTTTTATTTACAGTAGAATTAATCTGCTTCTTATATCTAAAGTGTCTAAAATCACACTCAGATTTAGCAAAAGCAACACGACGACTTCAGTTTTTCCTTCATTCAAACAATTTAAAGCCGTCCAAACTTTAATAGCATCTAAGCATGCATGTTTTCCCTATTTAGAAAAAGCTCTGATTTATTTTATTAGGTTTAATCAATGGACCTTAACGAGCTCCATGACCAGGAACAGCTGAGTGGGCGTCTCATCCACCTCGATTAACTGAATGATGCTGGGATGTCGGACCCTCCTCAGGACCGCCACCTCGTTTTCTATTAGGTGTTCCTGTTGGTGTAAAACACATGGTCAGGTTTCCATCAATTCAGAGATGTATATCACTGCCAGTTTTGATGATTGTTGCCTAAAGGTGATGATAATAAATACATTTTTTGTTTCTTAGAAAGATGTAGTATTACGTAGGAGCAATGAAGAATACTGGGCTACCTTCCCACAGCAGCGAGCTTTGTCGATGATCTTCAGCGCGTACTCCTGTCCAGTCGCCCTGCAGGTAAAACCAAATGAGGCAAGTTAAAAACCTTAATTTAATTAGTCAGTTTAATGGAAACACAACATTGTTATAGCCTGTTGTGATAAATTATTAGTATATTTGATCTTTGAGCTTTCTCCCCAATAGGATATTGCAATAAAAAGTTATTTGAAAGAGAAAATTGATTGAAAATATCAGCCCTGTTTGACAAATGTGCAGCAAAGTTTTTTTCTAATCAATGATTTTGATAAAAAGCGATTTGATAGATTTTCTATCTCTTAGCAGGGCGGTTTACCTTTCCACACATTCTTTCACCACAGCAAAGTTCCCATCTCCGATCACTTTCCCCACCTTGTATTTCTCGTTGATGATGGAGGAGGAGACGGACCGGTTTCCGTTCACTGAAAGAAAGAAGAAACTTTGATCTTTACATTTATTACACAGGCTTTATGAATAATTAGGGTTTCCCCATGAAGCTCAAAATTAGAGGAAAGGTTATTAATGATGTTTCCTTTCATAGCGTTTCCTGGATCCTTGTGGGTTTATGTCTGAATAAAAGAAGCTAAAAACTGTTTCATTCTGCTGAACTCGGAGCTTTTAAGCCTCCAAAATCAATCCTTAAGAAAAGCAGATCAAATTCCTTAATAGGAAATTTGCTTGTAAGCAAAAAAATACAATCAGAACCACCAACCTTCCTCAGCGTCGTCTGGCTGCTCGGCTTCCCCGTTCACGTCCGTGGAAGAGGCCCGGCGAGGAGAGATCTGAGGGGTGATGATTGTTAGAAAGAGAAAACAGATGTAAGGAATTAAAATGGCTCATTAATTATAATTTATTAGAGCCCATGTCTGTGATGGTGATGTTAACATAGACATCTTCATCAAAATGTTTTAAATATAAAAAAACGTGTCTAGTTTGAATAGTTTTCCACTGAAACAATGAGACAAAGATTCTTAGTGAAAAATATCTGCTACCTTTTTAAAGGCCTTAATGAGGTGATATTCCTGTAGCTTTATAAACTATTAAAATATCATCAACTTTGTAATAAAACAACTGAGGGCTCAGAAGTTTTATTAGCAGTAATATGATATCATATCAGATTTGCAAAGAATATTTCGCATAAAAGTTTTATTTTATACTTTTTATTATACTTTTATGCTTTATTTTAATGCACCTGTTTTTCTGTCAGGAGGTAAAGTAGCCATCTAGGGTGAAAACTGCAGTAACGCACTGCCGCCACCAGGAGGCACAACTACTCAGAGTTTGAGCTTCCTAACTGTAATTATTTGATTTTATATCTTTTAATTAGGCAACATGTTTCTTAAACGTTTCCCTTATTGTGACTCAGGCGCAGCAGCAGTGAAATATATTACTTTGCATGCTGTTTGTTCTATGTGACTCAACAGGAACAAACAGTTTGCTTTAGTATAATTAAGCTTTTCAGACAAAAACATCTCAAAAGAATTTAGTTTTAGGACATGTTTTTCATTATGCTTTTTATTATATTAAATAAACTATAAAGAGATTATGAAGAGATCACACATCATCCTGACCTTTAAGTTGCGTCGTGCTCCAGGACTGGTAGGAGATGGACTGGATCTGTTTGACTTTCCAGCTGACTGGGATCCTGACGCCTCGTTCCCTACGAGAAGGAAAAACAAGAAAAACTCTAATCTCTTCCGCTAAAATATCAGCTAGATAATGGATGGATGGATGGATGGATGGATGGATGGATGGATGGATGGATGGATGGATGGATGGATGGATGGAGGGAGGGAGGGTTGGACGGATGCACGGACGGATGGAGGGAGGGATGGATGGATGGATGGACGGATTATTAAAATAACCACATTTAAGGCTAGAAAAGAATCTCATTCAGCTTTCTACCTTCCAAACATCTAAAAAAAACTAAAAACACAAAGAGCCCTGCAGCTTCTAAGATAAAGCCCCATTCATGAGAAGGAAACCCAGACAGATAGAAACATCTACTATAACAAGGCTTCCTACCTGAACCAGGTGACTTGGTCCTGGACAGACCTTTAGGAGGAGTCCTGGAGGAGGTAAAGCCGGAGCTGCTGGGAGTCTTTGGAGTTTTCTGAGGAGCCGCTGGACGAGTCGATTTGGTCCTGCATTCTGCAGGGGAATTATATTAGTATAATGCAATAGCAGAGATCTGTGAAAGATAAACGTCTGGCAGCAAACAGATTCTGCTCTGTTGGCTGCAGCTGCTGGGAGTATTTTTGGTATAAACACACAAAGATATTCTACAGATGATCAGGTCAGCAGATTTACATGTGTAGCTAGCTCTTTTTGATTAAGAATACTTCTGGGCTTTTAAGCATTTATTATTTGTAAATACATATGAAAAATATTGTCTTTATGCTTCTTATTTTTGCACATTTAATCTCCCCTGTTTAAATAAGACTTTAAGGCAACAATAAAATTAACCTGGGTTCTCATCCAGGCTTGTTTCTCACGGTTCCAGCTGATTTAAACTTATATACCTGTTGCTCTGGCTGCAGATCCACATCTTTAGTTCCGTTATTTATGGTCAACATTTCTTTTTTTTTTACTGTATTTTAACTCGTCTTTCCCATTTTGTACATTGGCAAGAAGTAGATGTATGTCAGGATCAATTACACCCAGAGAAACAGGAAGGGATGGATCAAATACTCTATACATGTTGAGCATCTTAGAAATGCAAAAACTAAATAAAAAATAGGACGTTGATACTGTTGATTTTGTGGAAAAGAATAATTTTTTTAAATTCCTTTGAATTAAAAGGGGACATTTTCAGAATTAAACTGTTGCAGTAAAACATATTTCTCTTAAATGTGAACAATCACAGCAGAACGATGATGTTTTGGACACTTTGGCACTAATTCAGAAACTAAATCTTTTAAGGTATCATTTAAAGTGTAAATAATGATCCTGTTTGCAGAAAATCTTGTTTTTTTAGTATAATATCTGAGAAATGTATTGAAGTTTAGAGGTTCCCATAATGGATGTGTTGTGGAATTTCTGGGAGGATTATGGTACAAATGGAGGGTATTTATTTTTAAATTTACTGATAGCAATATTAAATGATATTGCACGGTACAAAAAAAATGATAAATTGAAAATGAATACCATTTTATTGGAGGATGTTTTGTGATTTAAAGGATATTGGCTTTTTGTTGTTTAACTGCTGGAAAAATTGTGAAACTTTCTTGTAATCCAAAGAGCGGCTAACAAAAAAAATGGGATAAAAATGGGAACAACTGCAATAATATAAAAAAAAAGTTTGATGCATTTTAAGCTGCAGTTTATATGCGCCTTACTATACTTCCCACTGTGCACTTTCCACAGAGCAACACTGAGACACAACCATATTTTCAGCAGAAGATGCATTCAAAGACATTAAAAAAAGTAGTAAAAGTGGAGGAGAAAATGTTCCACTGAACTTCTGTTATGTCCTCTTACCGCTGACGAAGGCTGCCGTTTTCCCAGAATGCGTGAGCACAAAGTCGTCCTGAGCGTACCGAAACTTCTCCGGACCGCACGCCATGAACACGTCGTCATCCCCGAAGAAATCCTGCAGACAGGTCAGCTGCACAAAAAGAGAAACCCACAGATGTTTATTCAGTGACTGAGGGGTGTTTGTGAGTGTGGAGAGGACAGATGGGAATATTTAAACCATGTCTGCAGCTGACAGCTCCTCAGCAGCCTCTGACAGGCAGCAACAAACACAAAGGGATGTCTGAGAACTGTCTTGAGGATTAAGTACAAAGTGTTCATCAACATGTCCCACATTTATGCAGAGACGAAGCAAACAGGGAGGGAGAGAGAAAAGCTGGGAGAGATGAGGAGAACAGCGGGATCAGCAGATGAATGAAAGAAGGGATTAAACAGGTGGATGTGAAGCTGCTGCACAGTTCATTCACTGCTGTATAAAACTAATCAGGCCTTTTGAAGTGTAGGGCTGCACCTATTAATCATTTTAGTATCAATTAATCTACTGAATATATTTCTATTAATCAATTAGTCTATGAGGTACACTGAAAGAAATAATGCAACCGCTTTTGACATTTACTTACTCATATTTAGTTACTTTAACACAATTGTCCTACCCTGCTAGCATGAAACAATTGTGTTAAAGTAACTAAATATGATTAAGTAAATGCCAAAAACGTTGCATTCTTTTTTTCAGTGTATTTTTAGAGAATTAACATTTCAAAATAAGTGGAAAAGACACTTCTTAGAGCATTCTAAATCAAGTAAAATAAATATATGGGAGTGATCTATATAAGTATACTGTAATCAAGTTTTTCTCTAAAGAAATGTCGTGTTTTAGAGCCTGTGTCCCATTAATCTAGCCGGTTCGGTTTAATTATCAAGTTAGAAGTCGACCTTTTCCACTAATCTATTGATTAATTGTTTCAGATTTTTCTTCCATTTATTTTGTCACTTTAAAACCACAAATTGTATTTCCTCTGGATTTCTCATGACAAAAACAAAAATGTGCATGATTGAGATTGAACAAAACTAAAAAAGTGCACTTGTTATAAAACCCCTTTAATGTGCTACCTAGAAATAAAGTCTAAAAAACGAAACATTTTGGCCAAAATATGAAACATTATTGATAGAGGAAGGTACACTGCAAAAAAATAAAATCTAAATGTTATTTTTTCTTAAAATGAGTGCATGTTTTCTTGAATTAAGGATTGAAGTGAGACACTTTGCCAATGGAACAAGACAATTTACACTTTAAACAAGAAAGAAAAAACAATTGCATTGTCTTATTTCAAGTGTATAATATCTAGATAGCTTATTTTAAGAGTAAAAATACTAATTCCATTGGCAAAACATCTTATTTACCTGCTCAAATTAAGGGTAAATACACTTAATTTAAGAAATTTGCAGTGTAGATGGTAAAACCTAGACTTTGAGATACAATAGAAGGGCTCAGATCACAGCTCATTCACATGATAGATCAGAGTCCAGTCCTAAATCACATAGATGAGCTCTGCATCCAATCTGACTCAGCTTTAATGAGTCAAAATGTCCTTCTATGGGTATGAAAAACTGGAAAAGGCATACCTTAAAGATCAACAGTATACATATACATGTATATATACTGTGTGCATGTGTATATAGACCTACTGTATGCGATAAATACCCCCTTTCCACAAATTACATCTAATTTTGATTCCAATACTTCAAAAATTATGACTAAAAACAATTTTTTCAATAAACAGACTACAGCTCTGTGCTCAGTTAGACAGTTAATTGTGAAATGAGTCCTTTTGAGGTTTTCCAACATAAAAGCCTTAGTATAAATGAGCCAAACTCTTCCTCCTTTGCTTGAGATATTATTATTAGATCAGCTTCTAAAGTAAATTGTTATGTAGTTAAAAAAAACTATTATTCCCAATGTTTAAAATAGAAGCTAACCTTAAACTTCCCCAGAGAATAAAGGGATTATATTAGTCTCCAGTCTATACAGCAGCCCTTCCAAAAGAACTTAATTATAACCCAGGTTCAGTTTTCAAAGCTGTGGATTAAAGTTTCCATGTTTGGTACTTTGATCCGACTGCATTTCAGTTAAAACATTAACCTCACAGCATCTCTGGGGATGAAATAAACCTGTCAAAACATAAACATCTCTTGTCTGGCATCATGTGAGGAGTTATTCTGGGTTGTGGATTTTAGCGGAGACTTGGCAGTGTTTGCAGAAGTACAATGAGATGCTTTTAGACGTGAAGATATGGATGCAAACACCCTCAGAGCTACAATAAGAACTCAGGTTATTTGCTCCCAGGCCTCCATGAGAAGGAGGGCCACAATTGATCCTAAAGCTGTACTTCTTCCTCACTCTTATTATTAAATGTATGCTCTTACATGTATGTGTGCATAAGTTTCTGTATAAAATTGTGGGTTCAAACGTTGTGCATCAGATTTCTTTGGATTTGCAGCGTCTCCTTTCACTGCTTTGCTGTGACCTTAAATTACCCTTTGGAGGCAAATAAAGTTTTCATTGAATTGGAATGGATGTTAAAGCAGTTGTTTCCATGGAAACAGGAACACCCAACAATGCCGGAACTGGAGCTGACATCCATGTTCGGCTGTTACAAGAGGAGTGGTTACTATGGTGACCGTGCCGCAGGGCGAGAGATGGCTTTCCTCTCCAAACAAACCTAACAATCACACACACACTCACTTTGCCCTTGTAGCACCCATCTGAGACCGACAGAATAAAAGCTTCAATAGGTCCTAAGACCTTCAAAATAAAAATCCCACATTAAAATAGAGAAAACCTTTGTATGAATTTTTCCTTCCGTTTGGCTGATTATGCAAAAAAAAAAAAAGAGTGGGATTAACGTGAGAGGAGAATATTTTGGTTTACATTTAGAATAAAACTAAATGATCAAAGAAATTTGTTTAAGGTTTTAATTTGAAAGGTAAAAGCCTTCCTTTTAAAACAAGGAAAACCAAACTATGGTTGATTAGGATTTTAACCCAACTTTGATCAATTAGCTGCTGCAATAGTTTCATTCAACTGATTTTGCTTGGACTGCTTTTGTATTAATTTGCTAAAATACAAAAAAATAGACAACTTCTAGGGAGACCAGATGTCCAGATTTGCATTTTTAATTTGACTTGGTCAAATAAAATAAAAAATTTCTAAAAAAGAAAGAAGAGCTGCATTTATGATGCTTTTCAAACTGGATATTAAACGGCTTTTTGTACAAAATATGATGGAAACTATCATCGAAGAAAAAAAAATGAAGCCACAACAAAGACTGGAAGCGTTTATAACTGGGTGAGGTAAGTGGAAGGTGATTCTCAGGGAGCTTTTTGTAAAGCAACACCAAAAAGAGATGAAAAAGCTGTGTCTGTCCCGCATTGTCCCTCATAACCATCCCAGTTGTCCCATACATATTTGTTTTTGTTCCCTAAGTATAGGGGTTACAGTTTTATATTAATTATTTCTGATTTAAATCCATTTTATATATAACAGTACAGATCCGGTTAAACCCCTAGCAGCAAAATGACATCATGAGAGGAACATTGAATTCTGTACAAAGTAAATCCTACCAAATCCATATTAATTCAAAGCAACTCCATCTACAATCATTCTCTAGCTTTGCATGTCAAATATTTCCATTTCAGAAAGCCTCCATTAAGATTTAAATACATGCAAAACTGCAAGCTGCACAAAAAACTTTAACAGCTGAATTGTACTTTTTATTGCATGCAGGGGTATGAGAGCTTCTACAGCAAGGTTTTAATTTGAACAGAGATTTTATAGCTGAAACCAAACGACTGCTGCAAGACTGTAGCCACTGATGCTTTTATTTTGAAGGCAGTAAAACTTGTTTTTACTATCCTTTTAAGTGGAGGTTGCATCGACATCAACAGTCAGAGCGGCGCCCTGATGAGCTTTCTGCTGTCTCTGCTTTCCTTCAGCTCTCTGCTCTGATTGTCTCGTCCGACTCGTTGATGTGACTTCAAAAAAATAAAAACTGGTGTGTCGGTTAAAAATAGCTCTGCCAGTCGGTGTGTGATAAGTTTAAATCCTCAAACCAATACAAGTAGTCAGAAGAGCTGCAGAGCGGATCAGAGCATATTCAGAGTGTGTTTAACACCTAAACTTTAGCTGACTGCTGCAGTTCTCAAACTCTAAGCTCCAAACTCCACAGCTTGACCTTAAACTGTAAATTAGAGCCACAGCCTTCTGCCGCTTCTTTAGAGAACTAATCTCTGTAATGTCCTCTAATTTGATTTCTGCGCTCTGATTGATAGAACTTAGCTACTGTTGTTCGATTTCACTTCATCTAAGCTTCTTTATCGCCGTCATCTTTCTTAATAAGGACTAAAACACGACAGAAACAGTGAAATTACTTTAATCAGGCCGCAGTTATTCATTTGGAGGACAGGATTTAAATACAATAATAAAATACTGTCATTTAATAGGCTGGAAGTTTGCACAATAAAAGAAAATATGAGATAATTAAATCATTTTTCTGCTTAATTGGTTTTGAGAAATGCAGTACAGATGTTGGTAAATTATGCAAATCTAACAAGTCTGAGTGTTGATTCATTAATTTCTAATCAAGTTCTGTTTGATTTTACAATGTTTTACTCTGCTGAGTTAGATAAGTCGCTGTTTTATGGGTAAAGGGTTTAGAAAATAACGGCCCAATAAGCACTGAATGAGAAATAACTGATGAGTTCATCCTTCTGAGGCTGAGCACCGAGGTGAGGAGGTTAGAAAGGCACTGCTAAGCAGAGGCCGCTGCTGCAGAGCAGGTTATAGCTGATCTCATTTCTCATGTGGGGGGAACTAATTGGTTATTAACGAACAAATAAATCATCTATCGGATGTGAAAATGATCAAACCTGACAGAATACGAGGGAAAGTGGTCAGCATCCACTGTGCTTTTCAGTCATTTGATTTGTAAAGATGACCAAACTTTTTATAAAGTACAATAATAACTAAGAAACATAATTTAGAAAAGACTTGAAATTGGTTGACTCTTCTAAGGCTACTAGAGACCAGGGCTGCAACTAATGATTATTTTGCAAATAAATTAATCTGTCAATAATTTTTTCAATTAATTGATTCATAATTGGATAGCAAAAGATTCCTTAAAGAAGACTTTTTACCTAATTAACCAGATGAAACTAAAACTTTTCTACTTGAGAAGTTGTGGATAGAACATACTTTATTGACAGACAAAAAACTATTTGTCATCTTAAATGCAAAATGTTTATATATTTCCTTTTACAATTTTGCTATAATTACTTCTCTATGTGGGTAACTCTGTCAGCTAAAGACATGTTTTAGAGTCCTACACTCCAGTTAACAATTAACCGATTACTGAATTAGTTGACGATTATTTCAATATTCAAATTAATTGCGATTAATCCGATTACTTTTTTCAGCCCTACTAAAGACACAAACTTAGCATTTTTAAAAAACGGCTACAGTAATACAGCGTGTTACAGAATGATCCACACTAGATAAAGCTCTGAAATATTTTATCAGTTTCTAACAACATTCAGTTCAATCCATTGATTTTATTGGAACAATTAGTGAAGGCCAACATTTAATAGTACATTTTTGAGAGTTAGGATGTAAGTTTTCAAAGGTTAAACAAACAAAGATTTAAAAAGAAGGGCCTCCATAACTATTCAGTCTCTAAGTCTTCAAACCACTTTCTCTGAGAGCTCATTCAGCCAAACTAAGGTCCGCAGACTAAATATGGCCCTCAGTGTTAATATATCTGCCTCACAGGAGAACTCTAAATGTTTAGAGTTGGATTACTGGTAGACAAAACATTCACCAATAATTCTACCTGAATGCTCTCCTATTCCGCGGAGGTACTGCATGGGGGTCGCGAAACTTTTGGTTGATTCATTTTTTTTTTTTTTATATTCCCTCCTGAATTGAAATGTCTTTAAATCCACATTAACAAATTCAACACACTGTAGTAAACAGATAAATGGAGGCAGAAGATGCCTTTCAGTCATCAATGCTCACATTCAGAGACACACAGGAGCTCTTTCAAGCTGGGCACCGTTTCATTCACAACACCTGTCCCATCAACCAGGAATCAGAATCAGAAATACTTTAATAATCCCAGGGAGGAATGACTTTCCTTACATTACTCCATCTGTAATAGAGTCACTATAGGACCAGGTTGATATACTGTAACACAATTTCATACAATATATACAGTATAACTAGGGGGTCCTCGCTCCATCTTGTCATCAGTTTGGGGGTCCTTGGCCTGGAAAACGTTGAAGACCCCTGCCTTAGGCTAATGTTTCTCTTACTCCATTTAAACCAAAAAAAAAATAAAAAATTAGGGCAAATTTTAGTCTTAATTTAGACAGAAAGAAACCTTTATTAACAAATCAAAGAAAATGTTAACTAATATTAACCTTGAGATCACTAATTAATTGTAATTAGTGATCTCAAGGCATGGCTGCTAAATTGATAAAAAAAAATTCCAAGCATGCAATGAAAAAACTATCTAAAAATAAGTTAAAATTTCTTAAAATTAGTGCATTCACCCTTAATTTGAGTAGGTAGATAACATGATCTGCCAATTGAATCATTATTTTTACCCTTAAAATAAGATAATTAGATATTATAGACTTGAAATAGGACAATACAATTGTTATTTTTTCTAATTTTTTCCAAGTGTGAGCTAATCCGCCAACAACATACAAGAAAAAAAATGCTAATATCTGGATTTGTAGCCGTCTATCCTTATCTATTACTGTAGGTATGTCTATCAGTACCACCTAAACCACCTTCCTCTGTTCACTTTCTCTAGTGACCTCAGGTAGAGAAAGATGGATGAAGAGTGCATGAAGAAAACTGTGCTTTAATGTTTAACATTCCTCTCCCTGCTGGTTTAAAGGCAAGTTAAACTTAGCCTGTAACTATAGAGGACTGTTGGAAAACTTACACATTCATCTTAATATTTGAAGAGGGAAAAAAAGCTTTGAATTGTAGACATGTTTCTGTAATAGTCAAGGCTGACCATGACTTTGTCCATGGTTTTGATTTTGGCAGCTCATGCATTTGGCCTCCATGACCTGAAGCATTGCAAGAACTTACTTAGATTGCTTCTAGAATGAGAAAATCATGATAGCAACAAGACCGGCAATGCTTTGAATTCTTAACTGTTCTTGTAAAATGCACTTCATACAATTCATTCCTAATAGATTCCTGAATACCAACAATATCCATCCCCTCCTTTGTTTTAGTTTTGTTTTTTTACATCAGGCCTGTTTTGTTTTTTTGTTCAGTGTTATGAGACTCTTAGGATTCAACACAATGTCCTGGTTGAGGTAAGAAAACAAAAATAAACCCTTAAAATATCCTTTAAAACAAAAGTCCAGGACCCTGTATTCATTAAACATGCTGAGGAGTGAAACTAAAGTCCATCTCATGCATTAATTAGAGACTCTCTCCTTTTACAAACCTTAAAGCAAACAAGAATAAACTATTCTTTACATGTTCACCTAAACTCTAGTCAACAGTATGTTTGCATGACTGTCACTATTGATGTAAAATTTAAAAAGATCAATACTCCTGATCCACAGAAATCAATGAGAGGGAGGATAATATGAGTCTGAAACTGTGAACAAGTAAAACCAGCTGACAGTTTTATCTGACATCAATGCCTGCATCCATCAGTGGATGATACTCACCTAAACAAAGAGTCTATTTTTAGGAACTTCTCACTTTTGCTTTCTTTATTTTAGATTTATTGCTTATGGCGAGATATTTTCCCACCTGGTGAAATGAGAAAGCAACCAGCATCCTACCTGTTTTCCATCCAGTGTGTAGAGCCTCTTCACAGCCCCAGAGTCCAGTTTGATGGCCTCCGTGATGTCGGCCAGCACTTGATCGAAGGAATGCGCCGTCTTCTTGTTGAGCAGGATCCTTACGGCCTTGCGAGGCTTTACGCCGCTACGGATCACCGTCACCAGCTTGGGTTTGATGAAGTCTTTGCTCTCTCTGCTCTCTCGACCCTCAGGCCGATCTTTGGAGACGGCGCTGGTGCTCGTCGACACTCCGGTTGAAGCCGTTGACGTCCGGCTAGTGGTGGACGCGCCGGTCCCAGACCCGGCGCCGGGTTTCCAGCTCGGGACGGAGATCTTTGTGTAGTCGACCTTCCGGTAAGGCTCGTTTGAGGCACAAACGTAGCACTCACCTTAACAGATGGAGAAAAACATATAGATTCAACAAACATAGATAGCATCTAGAAAAACTAACAGTTCAGAGACTATATGACAGCAACTGTCAGGCTAGAGATTGTAATACATGACATGTAGAGTTGGAAGGACAAACTGAAGGTGACAGCAGATGTCAGATCCTTTCCTCTTTAGTCATCAACTCAAGTTTAAGATCCAAAGAAACCAGCAGGCCTCATTGTTTCATGTCTTATGAGATTATTGATCTGACAGGAGAATACTTCTAGACTCTAGATAAATACCCAATATATTGTTCAGTTTCCTCATTAGCTCTTATTCTTATCTTCTGTGTTCTCTAGATATTCTTAAACCCTCTAAGGAAAGACATGGTGTCTCTCCTCTTATAGCGCCGCAGCTTTAATGTCTAAGAAATCTATTGTTTCAGGGTTGAACCCCTGAAGCTGTGCTTCATGGCAGATTAATAGTAGGGTACATATAACAGGCTGACTACAGCAATTATGTGTGGCTTTGTTTGGTTGACCGAATAGCTATAATATTAACCACTGCCACCAGAGCAAGTGGCACAGTGGTGGCCTTCCCAAAGAGGATTTAATGATGGCATGGGGTCCAACTGCAAGTGGCTATTAGATCAGTTCAAGGAAACAGTTAAAATAAGGGAATTCAAACCTGCAGTTGGTCTAGTTTGCTTTGGCAGTTCTAGTAATGGACTGCCTACCGAGCAAAAACTAGTTGAGAGGACATTAAAAATATGACATGATCTACGTCCAAATGACGTCTACATTTCGTTGAAAAGAGAAAGATGAAAAGATTTAATTTTCAGATCATTGAAAACTGGGTTTGCAACGTCTTTTATTGGACTAAAGTGGGAAAAAATGAGACCGTCCAAACAGCCCAATTTTCAATACCTATTTCTGGACAAGACTATGACGGACCGACCGGATTGGCCTAAATACCAATGTAAATGACGTCTGGTGTTTGGTCGAGTAGAACAAATCCATGAAGAAGAAAGTCTGTCTGTTTGGGGGTTTCTGCCGGTACTTTGGTGTTCAAATGTCCAGCTGTACCTCTTCACAATTGCTTTGTCTTTGTACTGGAAGTTTAACTTTATTTTTCCTCTTATTCTTCTACTCAAATCAGCTGGTTCAAAGTCAAATTCTCTCCTGCTATTGATACGCCGACCTGGCAGGCACTCCCAAAGTCCTCCAGGGTCCAGACAAACTCTTCAGTGACTGGGATTATAATCTGGCCAGGGTACCAATCCAGGATCCATATCAATGATCTGCACCAGAAATCTGCTGTGATTAAGGCCCCGTCCACACGAAGTCAAAACGAACACAAAACGAACAGAACGTTTGTCGTAAAGACGGAGACGTAAAATAAATGTGATCGTCTGTAAGTGGCGCTGTCGTGCCACAGCAAAAATAGGCGACGAAATGTTGGGCATGCGCACTAATATTTATACATGGTTGCCCTGCGGGACCATTTTCGTGGTTCAGTCAAATTCAGGTGCTGAACTTTGTCGTCGATATTGCTCTGTTCTTCCTGGAGATATTCCAGAAGAAGAAGATTCTGTTGTAAGCCCGACAGCAGGGTGAGTAGCATTAGCAGCAACGGCGCCATTGTTGTTGTGATACTGTGTCGCGCATGCGTGTTTAGAGGCGACGCTATGACGCATGCGTGTAAGAAAAAAAATGCGGTTAGAGCTTAAAGATGGAAACACGAAAACAGCTTTTCAAAATCTTCCCACTCTGAAGGCTGAATAAAAAAAAGATTGTTTACAGACCCCGAAACGCCGGCTTCGTGTGGATGAGAGGCTGGTTTGGTGAAAAATGTGTGCGTTTAGGCCAGGGTTTGGCTTCGTGTGGACGGGGCCTAAAACCCCTCCAAACATTTGGTATTAAAACATCCTAAGAGGGGCCTTTACTCCACGTAAATAATATGAGGTATGTTGACAAAATTCCTAAAAGATTTGAAAAAAAAAAAAAAAACTGCAAATGCATCTGAAGGAGCACTAAAATACCACCTGAAATAAGCCACACAAAATAAGCCAATATCAGTTATGTTGGCCGAATAAATGAATAAAGCTGCAGGAGTTGCGCAACTTACATTCTAGAGTAAAACACATTTACATTAAAACTCCAAAACATCTGTAGCCACAAATTACCAAAGAATTAACAGTTCAATCTGATCCGTTTATAGAAACAATATCAGACTATTAGGTTTGTAGAAATATTGCACCGTTCATCAGGTTCATCAAACTATCTTATTGTAAGAAAACTTTATCAATAAATGCAAATAAATACTCTAGCTATACTTGCTTGCTTAGAAATAACAGAAAATTAAATTCAAGATAATTTAAAGGAAGTGCCAAGGAGCCTTACTGTTTCAGTATCTTGTGCTGTTAAACAATTTAATAGCAGACAGAATGAATTCAGAAGGCTGTGATCTACTCCTTTTACAAATAACCAGGTTAGGTTGGTGCTGCCGTCATTAATACACTAGAGACTAAGAAATTAGTTCAAGTCGTCAAGCCTCACTAAATAGCTCTGTTATGTCTCCACTGTTATAAACATATATGATAAGATGACAAGAACTAGACAGAAGAAAAACTAAGTCTGCAACCTGCGGCTCCAGAGCCAAAGGTGGCTTTTAAGGTCCCTCAGTTAGGCTACTGATTAAATGAGATAAACTATTATTGTCGTTGTATCAACCCTACAGTGTGTGACAGAACAATATAATTGGTCCTGAACCATGTGACACGAATAGAGAGAAAATATAAAAAAAAGTGCAGAGCAAAACTACAGAGCATCAAAGAAGCAATTATGAATCAGAAAAATAACATTTACACTAGTGTACAACTAATGTAAAGTAGTGAGGCATTAATTTCCCATTTTGGTAAAAACTGTCCCTAAGTTCATTAGTCTATGACCTCTGCACTCTGCATATGCAACCCGGGGACAGCATGGCCATCACGTTTTGGTCAAAAATTGCAAAGAAGGCAGGTTTTAAATATAAGGCTTATAATTTGAAGGGTTATGTTTAAAGGTTTTAATGACTAATATGGGATTGGGACATCCCTAGACTACAGTAGTACAATAAAGGTTTTTGTCACAATTTTTTAGTGTTATAAACTCTGTATTTTGAGTGTTCAAGATAAATGTATTTTACTTTTTTTCTTCTTTATTATAAAATCTAAAAGTAAAGCATTTCATTTCATCAAAATGTATTTTTCTACAGCAGGTTTAACAGGACTACTTCTTTAAATGGTTGTTGAGCTTTTTTTGCAGATTTAACAGATTTTATTCATTATAATCAAAGGGATAAAGGGCCATTTTTTCGGTTACTATAAATTAAATCTAACCCAACATGGGGAAATATATGAATATCAGAAACCATATTTTTATGTTAGCTGATAGTAACTGGAGGACTGAAGAAAACCAGAATGATGAAAAAGGGATGAAATTAAAATGAGCTCAACAAAGCTTTACAGAAGAGTCTAACCAGTGGACTATGACAGATTTATCTTCTAGAAACTTTCCTCCTCCTCCTCTCTGTATCTCCCTCTTATATTTCCGCCTCCAGACATAAAAAAAGCAACTTTCCATATCAGAGTCCTCCTCCTCTCCCCAGGCTTTGTTCAGTGACCTTGTCTCTCCACATGCTGACTTTCACTTTGTGATTCAAACGAGCTGGACAGGCCTGCTCTCAGTTTTTATGTTATTACGCAAACACCTGAGTGACTAAACACAAAAACACTCTCAGTGTTATTGTGTACTTTTATTACTTCAGTCTGTATTTTCATTATGTCTACTGTTGTCCTTTTCACCGCAGTTATTGGGATTTATATATATCCATGGATGCTGTTAATGAAGATAGGTTTCTCTTAATGGGGCTAATGTCTATTTGAAGGAAATGTATCTCGGTTTGACTGTTTCCTCCATCAATAATCCCTGGAACTTAACAGCCTGTTTGCTTTGTGTAGGTGAAATGTTAATTTATGTTATATATATAATAGGGATGCACGATATTGGGATTTTGGCCGATATCCGATATGCCGATATTTTAAAACTCATGTAGCCGATAACCGATATCGATACCGATGTTAAAGCTGGACAAAAATAAGTAGTCATTGAAAATAGCAGTTTTGTTATCCATTTCTGACACTTTGAGAAATAATATACTCAAATATATTTTCATATGCTGATATCAAATAGATTTTTAAAAACGCGGTATCGATCTATTTTACTTTCAAAATCTTGTGAAATTTCATCGTTCTGTTACAAACTCTCGTGATATTTTGCAAATTCTTGTGAGATTTTGTTAGTAAAATAGATCGATATATAAAAATATGGCAAAATTTCGTGGATTTTCGGGGGATTTCGTAGCATAACGATGACATATAGCAATATTTCATTAGTAAAAGAGATTGATATGGTGTTTTTAAATGGCAATATATCAGCATATGAAGATATTGGGATATTTTAATGTATCAATATTTTTTCCCTCGTCTTTAGATGTTTTTAAGTCTGAAAAAAAGAAGTTTTTGAGGAAGAAGAAGAAGTAGTTTTTTTTTTTTTTAGACTTTAGAAACTCAGAAGCGATCAAATATCGGGTTAAATATCGGTGTGGTGGCCGATGTCCGATATTCAGTTTTAAGGCCGATACCGATAGGGGGCCGATTATATCGTGCATCCGTAATATATATATAAAAAAACACTATTAGAGTTGAATCAGATATCAGCACACCCTGCTTTTCATCAGTCTTTAACAAAAAAAAATGAAAGAATCAATGAGAATCTTGACATTTGGATTATTCTGTAATGTTCCCTTTTGTTCCTGCCCACTCATTTCATAAGAAAAGATGCAGGCATTTATCTATTTACCTCTTACATCATTGTGATTCACTACAGAAAAAGCGTTTGGTGTTACAGCAGCTCATGGTTCTTATCATTCATGAATACCAGAGAGCTGACAAAACGGTTCGTTTTGCAACTTTTTC